TCCCTGGGAACAAACCCAATAGATTGGAATTCCCCAAGTGGTCGCCTAACAAATAGTTCATTCATTAACACTGAAATACAAATTAGAATCTAATAAGTAAATAAAAAATCCTTACTCTCAAAACATCAATTCCAATTAAATCTAGGTAGCATTAACTGCCACCTATGTTAATATAAAACATTAGAGTTGTTTGCAAATTTCAGCACAATTTATGGGGCTAGCAACAACTTTCCCACCATAATAAAAGCTCACTGAGTAGAAACTGAGAAGTCAGAATATTTTAAAAGCATAGGAGCTGAGACAGGATTGATCTGCAGGCACTGCTTCTCAGGTTGCCAGCAATGGCTTCAGTGGACGTATTATCAACCTGCAGAAGATAAAAGAAGACAGAGTTGTAGGTATAAAGCTGTGGGTGCCTCTGCAAAAGTACACATCATCACCCTGACTGGTTTGGCTCAGTGGATAGGTATTGGCCTGCGGATTGAAGGGTCCCAGGTTCGATTCCAATCAAGGGCATGTACCTTGGTTGCGGGCACATCCCCAGTCGGGGGTGTGCAGGAGGCAGCTGATCAATGTTTCTCTCTCATTGATGTTTCTAACTCTCTATTCCTCTCCCTTCCTCTCTGTAAAAAATCAATAAAAAATATTTTAAAAGTACACATCATGTTAGTTTATTTTAAAGGAGATATGTTAAGATGCTGCAACATTCTTAGAGGAAAAGTGCTTGTATTGAGAAACCTAAGACACAGCATTCAAACCTGTGATCAGCACACCTCCCTCTCTTTCTTGTCCCTTATAAAGGTTTCTTCTTCCAGCACTTTCTATCTTTTATGTCAGCTTCTTTAATCTCAGAATGCCAACAGACTTCTGAGACATCATCTTAGTAATCCTCTTAAAAGAGAGGATTCATGTGCCAGATACCTTCTGGAAATCCACAGGTGTTGCGAGTCAGCTACGTGGGAAGGATAATTCCTTTGTATATCTGTAGTGTCTGTCTGCATTGGGACTTCCAAATACTTTTCCAAATTATCTAATTATCCTTTCAATACCCCTTGGAGGGAGGCAGGCAGGAGGTAATACTGATCCCATTTCTACAAGGAGTAGAGCTAATGATTTGTTCCACAATGAGGTGGCTTAGCCTAAAGCTGTATTCTCTAGAAACTTCAGCTGTGAAGAGAAGACCTTGAGTCTCTTAAAATAATATTTCTTCTCTCAACTTAAAGGTAGTGGCTGGTGGAATGGCTCACAAAAACCTCTAAGTAAATGCAATTACATCTAAATCCCTTCTTCTCTTGGCCAGTTGAAACAAGCCTCACAGTGTATGTCTCCATCATGTGAGAACCTCCTGGGCCAAATAATGTTGGGAAACACTACAAATGGTCTCCCTTTTGACAAGTCAGTGCACATGTTAGCATAAGGAAGCCCGGCTAAAATACCTCATTCAACTTTGACTCATGGATTCTATTGTCTACGTAACTGCTGTTAGCTCCTGGAAATAATATTGTGTGGAAAACATGTAAGAAACATCAGCCCACATGAGTGTCCCCACCCTCTTCGAATCTTCTTATTCAGAACTCAAACCTTCTAGAAAGAACAAACCATGGAATGATATAATTATCTCATTATTATCAAGCACCTATTTTCCAAGACATTGGCTTTTCTGTTTTCCTGCCTTGGGTGTTGCATTTTAATTATCAGAGCCTATCTGCATGATAAATAATATTCTTATTTGTGTTTGACAAAGCAGTCAAGTAAGGCTGGGCCCTCAAGGAGGGTCCTCTGAAGTGGCATGGCCCAGAGCTCTCCTCAGCCCCATCTGCCACCTATCTACATACTTGCCCTTGGAAAATGGGACCAGTTTCAGGCCTTTCAATACCATCTTTAGACTCATGATCCAGATCTGCATCTCCAGCCCTGACCACTATGCAGAGAATCTTGATCTACCAACACTCGTTTAACCTAAGGCCCCTTCCCCCACATAACTCCCCTTCAGTTTCTTCCCTTACTCCAAATAGAAAACATTAGGGTACCCAGACCACCAGGAAAAAGGCTCATTGGTCTTTGAGAATAATGCAGCCCTGGGTCTATGGCCACAGAACTTTGTCTAACTGCACTGCTGCTATAGCAAGCTCAGAAAAGAGTCTGAGACAGTCCGAATGTTCTACACAAGAATCCCTTTGGCCACCCACCATGTGAACCCCGTGCTTTAATAATACTTTGTCTAGCCAACAGATTGCATGTATTAAAGATGAAATTATTGTCACTTTCTGAGTCATCTAGGTTCTATGACAGATATGTGTTGCTTAAGAAATATTCTTCACACCTGGTCAGCATTGTAAACCTATGAACCAGGAGGGCACAGTTCAATTCCCTGTCAGGGTACATGCCTGGGTTGTGGGCTAGACCCCAGTGTGGGGTGTGCAAGAGGCAGCCAATCAATGATTCTTTCTCATCATCGATGTTTCTCTCTCTCCCTCTCCCTTCCTCTCTGAAGTGAATAAAAATATATTTTTTAAAAAATAAATAAATAAAAAGAAATACTCTCCACATGAGAATCACACATGCTTTTAATCATGCCCAAGTGAACACAGGGCAAGTTGATGCCCTGGTCTCCTTTGCCACTGTTCCCTTTAGGTTTTGTAAAATTCTGAAAAACAGTTCTTGATCCTCCAACTTGGCATTTCCACACTAAAATGTCTTTTCTTCTGACAAGTCCCTTTTTCTGAGGGTATAATAGACTGTGTGTTGAAGGACCTTCTAGATTCATCTTTGACATATGGTGCCAGATTTTTACGTAGGTCTCCATAATTATGAGTCAGTGTTTTCTTCAGTTTGGATCATAGATCTGGCAATTTCCTCTCTGAAGCCATCTTCAGTATCCAAACCTGATACAAATGACGGAAAGCTGCTGGGGGATATTAAGCAACCTATATTCTGTTGTTATAATTAATACCTCCCACCCCCATCCCAGACAAGTGGTAAGATTTTCTGTTGTGATGAAATGTCTCCTAGATCACTCATATTCTTTCAGAGCATGTCTTGTTCCTTTTATGTAACTTAAACCAGTGAGCCAGATTTTTCCCAAAGGGTGAATTAAGAAGGTCTGTTAACCCTTTCGGTACCTGGCTTCAAGAAATCTCGGCAAGGCCATCAGTATTATTTTGCCTCAGGTCGTTATACTTTCTAAAAAATCAGCTGTCATATTCGAAGCTATCCATGATAGCACACTCCACAGAACCCTGGAGCTTTGGAAACGTTAATGCCCTCCCTCAGCAGTGACCTTGCCGCTGGGAAGTGATTGAGGCACGGGGGAGTAAGGGGCCCGCTATCTTTATCGCGCTGGTTTACACCATCAACCTCAGAAATTGTGTGAGAGAGGAATAATCAATAGTGTGTTAAGACCAATCTCCAGGAATGCCAAGACAAAGCGTTCGGCTCTACAGAATGCAGAGCTAAAGGAGAACTTTTGAATACGGCACAAGAGAAACGACCTGTAGTGGTAAAACCAAATGAATTGTGTCTCAAGGTGGAATTTGTCACTGGGAATAGCACTCAAGAGCTCTCTGTGTACTTCAGTGAAATCCCATAATATGCCTGATGAAAAAATGCTTACTTTAAAGTTAAACAACACAGAATCAAATTACAAAACCAGAAGGAATATGTTCTAAACTTACACATGTAACTTAAGAATTAGCTGACGTCAATAATCCCAAAAAGTTTACTGGGGGAAAAAATACATATCTAGGAATAGAATCATCTCCCATGTAGAAATGGGAGAAACATAAAATTAGACTTCATCAAAATTTCCTGAAAATGTTACTGTATTTCCTGGAATTCTGGTAAAGGCATTGTCTCTCAACCAGCAGAGAGTGGGAAGTTTCTAAAAACAGCAAAGTAGGTATCCCCACGCCACCCGGAGTGAAATCACTGTAGAGAAGATCTGCCGGTACCGTCCCTTAGGTCATTACAATTATATGTGTGATTTCCCACAGCAACCCCAATTGTGACATGGACAGCTGTCAGCAACAAAATTAGAGGGAACTGTCATTATATGGATTTCACCAACTTTGCTAGTCCTATTTCCACACCATTGCTCAAGAGGGTGTTTTCAAAGAATTCATCTGGTAGAGGTTCTCATTATTCAAGGGGGAATCACTGAAGTCATTTTATCTTATAGGCTATACCTGAATTACAGTTGTCACAATAATAAGAATTCCAAATGGATGTTTATCAAATGCCAAATTCAAGTATATAAAAATATCTGGGACACAATTCCTTTCATCCTGCAAGCATTGTATGAAGTAACTATTACATTTCCTATTTTTAACACAGTAGTTCCCCCTTATCCATGGGGGATATGTTGCAACACCCCCATTGAAGGCCTGAAACCTCAGATAAGTACCAAACCCAATGTATACTATGTTTTTTTCCTATGCATACATACTTTTTCACTTAAAGGAAGCACTTTATTGCTTCTCTTTAGCACATCTGAATTGCCATGTCCAAATCACTGCTTTTGCACTTTGGGGCCATTTTTCAGTAGAATAAGAATTACTTGAACACAGCACTGTGGTAATGCAACAGTCGATCTGATAACCAAGTCGAAGGCAGAGCACCTCTGTGTTCGAACTCAGCTGAGAACATGCATGTAGGGCAACTCTAAATTTTGTCACTCTGCTTATGTCTGCAAAAGTGCATGGGTATGGATTTGAGGCTTACAAATTAATTTTAGTGAGTAGGCCAATTCACAAATATGGAATTTGTAAATAATGAGGGTTGATTTATTATGTTGAAGAATCTGAGCGTCAGTCACTTTGTATCTGTCTGGGTAATTTTGTGTTATATAAGTGGTTGGATTTATTTAAATTTCAAAATCAGAGTATATTGAAAGTAAAAGTTCCATGAAAAATGTGAAAGCCATTGCATTGCATGCTTCCACATCATGATCTTAGGGAAAAATGAATTGTGCAACCGAGTTAAGTTTTCCATGTTTCTTCCAGGTCTTTCAGGGATGTGGCCAACCCAAGCCTGCTCCAGCCCTCAGGTCTGCCCGCTCAGCTCCTGAAAATTTTAATACACGTTTTAGGCCTTACAATCCTGAGGAAAGACCGACAACCGCAGCAGGCACAAGCTTGGACCGGCTGGTGAGTTCTCGCAGATAGATGGCCTTGTGGCCGCTATCTGTTACGGGTTATTCTTCACAAGATGTGATGGGGAAAAGTTGGTTGTGAAGGTCATCTCATTCTGATATCTGCTCCTAGTCTTAATTAGAATATTTAAAAGTAATGAGATCTTCCTTTTAGGTCAAGAATTAGATTATTTAAGAAGTCTTATCACCATTAATCCACTCCTGCAAAGGCCAGATTTTCAACTTCATATTTCTTCTGAAATATTAATTTGAAGACTAAGTTACTCTGTCTCCCAGCAATATAATTATACAATAGCACATTTTTCATTCATTTGCTTCAGTTATTTATTCAATAACGGTAGTGGGACTTTATGATGATTCTCCTTATATGGAAAGTTTTCTGTATGGAAGACCTTGCCAAGAGACCCCAAATCAAGGTGAAAGAAATACCATTTGTGTGTATGTGTGTGTGTGTATCTTTTAAAAGTTGGAATTCTTAGAAACAGTCACTCTTTGATCCATTTAAATGTGTGTCAAATGGTCTCTAGCAACAAAGCAATTTACTTTGAGAATACTGTACAACCATAAACGTAGTAAACACAACTTTAATGTTTTAAACATCAAATCTTATGACAAGAAATGAAAATCTCATAATTTAAGAGAAATACTGCCTGATTATTTTCAGTGAAACTTATAGTATTTAGAGTACTATAAACAATTTATATACCTGTAATCATAAGTGCTGTTAATGTTGCTTAGCCAATTATCTTGATGTAAAATTAGCAGATGAGAGCCTTAAGATAATAAAACACTTGAACCACATATGATTATGGCATATAAACTCAGATCTCAATTTCTTATTACAAAAAGTATTTTTATTAGTCACTGTAATAAATTAATTTATTATTTTAGTTAATATTCTTCTGCAGTGTAGAACTCATAAGATTAAATTGGTTGAGTTTGGCCTCAAAATAAGTACATATCAGCAATTCTCTCTATAAAAATCAAATGTACTTACAATATAAAGGCCTATCCATGAAGTGCCAATGAGAAGGGGTAAATGGAATTGTTAACTACTAAATTATGTTATAAATTTATTACAGTTTATTAGCAATAAGCCTCCCTCTTTCATGTAGGTTTTGAAAAAGGAATCATCTGGGTAATTGCTTCAAACTTCTACTTTACCTTGATTATGTTAATTCTCTATTCACAGTTTCAGGAAAAGTTTAAAATTAGTCTTCTTTTTTTTTTCTTTTAAGCAACCAATTAGATTTTTCTAAACAACTAGCCAATAGTTTTCAAGAAATGATGGTTTCATAAGATTTCATTGTTTGGGGTTTTACTTTACAAATTCCTGTGTATGTCTAGATCCTTTTAATGAGAAGCAAAATTGGTGAGTATGGGTTCTCTCTCTCTCTTTCTCTCTCCCTTTTTATTTCCATTTTAATTGGCTCCAGCTTAGTTATTAGACCAATTCAGGCTTTTCAGATTTTTCATAAACACTTGTATAAGAACTGGGACACAATGAAGATCGATAAGTTGTGCCTGTAAATGACAATACTGTTTAAAGCATTTCAAAATCTGTTAAGAGAGTAAATCTCATGTTAAGTGTTCTTACCACAATAACATAACATTTAAAAACAATTTGGGTACATTATACACTTAGTTAAAATTACAGTGAATCTGAACAATGTAATGATATCTATGACTACTAATTATTTTTCCCCTTTGAAATAGAAGCAAGGGAAGTAGAACTTCTAGGAAAGTAGAGCAAGAAAATTAATTTTTCTAAAAAACAACAATATTTATGCAATTTAGCACAACCTAAATAAAGCATCAACATTTTGAAAATTTCACGTGATGTTTAAAATCTGGTAGATAGGAAAATTGAAATTTGAAGCTTTTATACAGGAACTTTATTGAGGATCTTCAAAATGCCCCGAATATAAAAATCTTGAAGAGTACTTGCAAGTAGCAACCTGATTTAAGCTCTTCTATTTTATGTGTCTCCAAAAATATTTTTAAGCAACGTTTTTCTAAGGAGAATTAGTAATGGTTAATCACAAACAAGGACCAGACTCAGTGCATAAGGACTAGTTCAATGCATATGAATTTAAATCAACAAGCCAATTTCATCCTAAAATGTTCTGTGTCCGCAAGTAGTACTTCCTTATAGGCGTGGCTTCAGGCCCTATAAAGGAAGAATGCAGGTTTTATTAATTTTCTAGTGAATTAAATTCTGATTCCTTCCTAAATTGTAAGAATTAGCAATTTTTCATTCACAGTCAGCCATAAGCCTACTGGAGTTACCTTCCCAGCCCCTATGAGCAAGGGACTTTTTCCAATCAAAAGGAGCTATGCAAGGTTATTCTTGAGAAACACAAGTGAGAATGAAGCTCACATCAGACTCTCCCTTTGCAGCCTTTGGCTCCCCCAAGGCTCTTCCCTTTGCGGATAAAACAGAACTCTGAATAGTGAAAGGGTGAAGGAGTAACCAGCCCATGCTGTGCAACAGTCAGACAAAATCCTCCTGGAGACACACGCATTGGTGAACTCTCCTGACGGGCCTATCCAGCACAGCCTTGTTTATAAACAAGTCTCATGTTACCTACTCCTGTCGTAATTTTCCCCTGAAAGGATGTTTCCTGAATATTTATAAGAAGCATGTGTCCCAGAAAAGGAGAATAACTGGAAAAGACTTCCTTTAGTCTCTCTGAGTGTTTCAGCAGAGACACTGCTTCTAGGGCAGCATCGAAAGAATACTCCACCCCACCCCTTTCACCCAAGGAAAATAACTAGAGAGCTCTCAGAGAATTGCTCTTACTCCCATTTAAAATTGGTACCTGGGCTATTAACTTTGGGTTCTGTTGATAGCTGTTTTTATGTCAATTATTGTAAAACTATTTTTTATATGAACTGACAATTATGGGGTTTTAGAAATAAAGCTACTAACCCCAAGCAGGATAAACTGCTGCTAAAATTTATGTGAAATAATTGAAAACAAAACAAACTCTCTCTTAAAAATACATTAATTCCATCATTTAACCTCTATTACATTTATAAGGAACCTTGTAAATTCTTTTATGTCTCTAAGAAACATTGCCATTTGTTTCTGTTTAGTGGAGTAAATGTTCCATTTCTCTAAAATTATATGTGCATAAGAAGTAGTTTAGGTAGTTAGTAGCTTTCAGACATACTATCCAAAAGTTATTTTTATTATTCAATAATGAATGAATATATTTGTATAAATTCAGCTGCTAATGAAAAGCTGACTCATCAGAGAATATCACAGTCCTTCCTGCCAGCAGCCCTGATTTGTTGGAGATATTAATGTCATCAACTAATTTGGTTAACAGTCCTCCCCACCATCACGTGTCTCCTGTCACCAACACTCAACCTGACAGTACTTCTACGGCAGCGGGTTAGGATGAGGTTAGTTAAATAGACCAGAGGTGATTATCTGCATGAAGGAAGAGATTGGATCTCTTCCTTTTGTCTTAACTCTATCCTCCATGAATTCTCTAAAATAATTTGATTGTAAAACTATGACTTTTAAAGCATTTCAGTGGAGGCAGAGAGTATAAAAATAAATCAACACAAGCTATCTCAATTTTTAGAATCCGAGCATACAGAAGTATTTCAGATTACTCCTGTAAAAGGCAATTAGCTGTACAGCTCAGAAAGTGATAGCACAACATGCTACATGGTTCCTGGACACACTTGTGCAGGGAGTGTCTATTACTCCAGCTGATTCATTATAGCAAAAACGTACTTTAAATTGTATATCTTGGAATAATATAGTTTATAAAAGTGGACTAAACACACACACACACACACACACACACAAACACACAGACTTGGGAGTTAGTTCATCAAGTTGGTGATGATTTAGACAAATGAATCTCCAGTAAGTATTCCATGTCGTCCTGTGTGTGCAGATTTCTAAAATATTCTACTGCTCAATCTGAGGGAGTTTGGGGTGGGGGTTGGTGGGTAGAATGCCAGCCTACGAAGCTAAGCATTGTACCTGTGCTGTGCTATTATGTATAGAATAATCTCTCTTTCTTTTTTCTTTAAATTTGTTTTCCTCTTGCTTCCCAGAGGATTGTGTGGAGGACAATGCAACATAGTGTAAGCTTGGTCTTCTTCTTCCTCTCATTCCCATTTGTCTTTGTACACTCATTCTGGAGAGTTCCTGAGAAATTCCACCTCCACCTCCCTTTTGCAAATTGCCTAGCAAGCCATTTGAACACTGTGCATGACCAATGGGTTTAGTAGCCTCCTCTCTTGGTATTTACGGTAAACGACCATTTGGAATTCTTTCCCAAGGGCAAGGTTTTCAGTCTAAACTTTGTGTAAGACTGGTTCATTTGATGGGTGATTTAATTCTATCCGAATGTTCAGACTATGTGTAGTCTGCCTGAAAAACTAGCTCTTCCCACTACATGTATATTGGTTTTTTCTTTTTGTGCTGAGTGAATAATTACTAATAATAAAAGCAAATCAACCTCAGCTCTCATGCATAAGGAGCTATTTTTTTCATTAACTAGGACATAGAGAGTTTAGGGGTTTAGAATAGTTTTTGGTCTGGGTTGTTTACTCTATTTTTACTTTATTTGAATTTACTGATATCTTTTAGAGGATTTAGGGAGGAAG